TAGTCCCGGCCGGGATAAAGGACCGTGACCCTCCGCCACCAGAGTGTTCCCTGGGGGGCGCTGCGCCCCGCGCGCTCAGGAGGCCAGCCAGTCGGGCTCCTTCCCGGGTCCCTCGTCCTCTCCCCATCCGTGGTCGCGTCCCGGCCCGGGTCCGTCCCGGGCGCTTAAGCCTGGGACCAGGTCTGCCTCTGGGTGTCCTCTCCGGTCTTCGTCAGACCCCAACCCAAAGGGCTCTGGGCTGCGAGACCTGGGGCTCAGCCCGCACCCCACCCCAGACGCTGGCCACTTGCTGGGGTTTGTTGGGGACTCTCGACTTGGAGGAACGGAGGGAGGACTGGACAGGGGCTGCCATGCTCCCCTCACAGGGATTTTGGACCCCAAGCCCACGGAGTGGAGAGGGACTGGGGCTTTTGAAGCCCAGGGCTTTAAGGATAGTCTAGAGAAGCAACCTGCTACCCAGTACTCAGGAGGCTGAAGCAGGAAGATTGCTCCAAGTTTGAGGCTGGCCTGGGCTACATAGGGAGTTCCAGGCCAGCCTGAATTAGATAGCCAGACCTTGTCTTAAAACAAAAACGAAAAAGAAAGGAAGATGGTTGGAGATAGCTAATGAGAGTGTGGAGCCCTGAAAAATATCAAGGCCAAGCAGCAGCCTGGCTGGCCTGCTTACCAATTGCATGTCCCAGCCACTAGGACGCCCCTGCTCTCTGGGCCTCGGTTTCCTCATCTGTAAAATGGGAGAATTGAGCAGTTGATTCAGAGGGCACCTTTTACTTTTCCCTCTGAAAGCATCTAGGCCCTTGGTCTCTAAGGGCTCCCCACAGGGAGCCTGTAGAAATGAGCTCCTGTATCCACCTGAAGGGACAGTGGTCCGCAAAGTGTTGGCTTGTGTGTGTAATCTCAGTATGTGGGAGGCTGAGGCAGGAGGATTGCCATGAGTTGGAAGCCAGCCGGCTGGGCTGCATAGTGAGACACTGTCTCAAGGCAAAAACAAAAGGTCCTCAGCCCAGTCCAGCTGCCCGCCCAAGACCACAGCTGTCTTCCTGTGGCCACATCCTTTTCCTGCCATCCCCCTGCTCCTTCACCTCGGTAAAGATAAGACCTTCCTGCAGAGCTCAGGACTGAGAGGTAAACCTTGGGCTGGTGGGACAGAGCCCTCAGATCTGACATCCAGGGGAAGCCTCTGGTTAAAGTGCCACCATGGGGATAGCAGTGTCACATGTTAACTGGAAGCACCCCGGCACCTGGCACAGCCAGAATCACCGTTCTGACAGAGGCCCCTGGCTCAGTTTCTGGTCTTTTTCCATAGCCTTTGGGAGCTTCCCTGGCCAGGGTCCATCTCCTCTCCCGTCCTCCAGCTGGGGCCTAGCAGGAGGACCCAAGGCCTCCCTGGAGCTCAGAAATGGAGCAGGGTGGAGCATACTGAAGTCCCCATACTCAGGGTAGAGGGCTGAGGCAGGAGGATCATCAGGAGTTCCAGGCCAGCTGAGGCTCCATAATGAAACCTTGTTTCAAAAATAAAAGCAACAGCTGGGGCGTGGTGGTGCACGCCTGTAAATCCCAGCACATGGGAGGCTGAGGCAGGAGGATCACTGTGAGTTCGAGACCAGCCTGGGCTACATAGTTCCAGGTCAGTCTCAACTACATAGTGAGACCCTGTCTCAAAAAAAAAAGCAATGGTGTTGGGGCTGCACTCTGGCTTAGACACTGCAGGTGTGGGCCAGCAGCACCAGGCTCATAGGCCGGACCTGCTACCTTGGGGCCAGGTGGGCTGCAGTCTGCATGGGATAGACAGGCAGCTCTCAGCCTCTGGGCCCAGCCTGGGGACTCTTGGGGGCCAGGCCACATCTGCATCTGAGACACACGCACCCTGTTTCCTCACCATCCTGAGATCAGCCCTGCTCCCAGACTGAGCCCTCGCCCAGTGTGACCCTCGGCCAGGCTGCATCCTCTTCTAGTCTGACCTCTAACCTCTGGCTGAACTCTGACCCCAGGCCCAACCCCAGACCCTGCTCAGTTTCCAGGAACCAGGGAAGCTTTCTGAGGCAAAGGGCCAGGAGGGGAGAGGATGGCCAGGCCCTGAGTGGAGCGAGGTGTCACTTTTACAGCCATTTTGGCTGCTCATAAACACCCCGGAGTCGCTGGAGGCCCCTGCAGCTGGTGAGCAGTCCCCTCCCTGTACAGCATGGGCTGGCTTTCTCCCTCTCGAGAGAGAAGAGGGAAGCTGGGGGCCCATGACCCAGCAGGCTCTGTCCCAGGTGGCTGAGGCACTGGCTTCCTCTCAGGCCAACCTCATGGTCACAGGCACCTGCTGTCAGAACCTCAGGTCCATGGACATGTGTCCGTAAGGATGGACCTCCTGCAGTCCCAGCACTCACACAGGAGGCTGAAGCAGGAGGGTTGCCGAGTTCGAGACCAGACTGAACTACATAGTGAGACCTTGTCTCATAAAAAGAAAATAAAGCAAGCACACCTTGCACATCCCATGGTGCTAACCCTGGGGGAACCACAACCCCTCCCCTCCCAGCTAGGCCCTCTGGGTCTCTGGACCCTGCTTACCTGGAGTCCCTAGGCCTTCCGAACCAGGCCAGAAGCTGCAGGGCAGACTCAGGTTGGCCATGAGGAGGCCATAGGCAGCTTGAGAAACTTCTTGGGTGTAAGACTGGCAAGGATGCGGCTGCTGGGAACAAGGAAAGGCCTGAGTCAGAGCTTTCCTTTGAAAAGAAAAATTAATTATTTTTTGCCAAGCCTGTACTGGCCCAGGACTTTGTCCCAGACCCGAGTGTGGCTGTGGTCAGGTGCCCTCCCCCAGCCCTCGTGTGTCTGCCTGCCAGGAGCCTGGCCTGCTTAGGCCCAGGTGAGTGTGGGCCTTTCTTCTCCTACCAGGCCTCTCTCTGACTCTCTTTCTGTCTGTCCCTGGGCCCCCATCTAACCCTTTGGCCATTTCTTTCTTATTTTATTATTTTTTGAGGTCTTGCTGAGTAGTTCAGGCTGGTCTTGAACTCACTATGCCCTTGAAGACATTCTCCTGCCTCAGCCTCCAGAGTGCTGGGATGACAAGTGTGCGCCAACCCCCTCCGTCCCTTTGGCCCTTTCCACATTTCAGAATCCCAAACCACCATGAAATATGAGCAGTGAGACACCTAGGCGTGACTTGCTTCAAGATTCGGGTTCCTAAGGAATCAGATGGGACCTAGGCTGCCTTGTACTTGCGTGCCAGGTAAGAGAAGTGAGGCCTGAAAGTCTTGATGTCCCAGTGCTGGGGACCCGGTGGCTCCCAGATAGAAGATGGGGGAGGACGGGGACCCTGTATTCCACCTGACCCCTGCAGCCCCGCAGCCACCCTGAGCCCAGCCAGAGCTGGTTTGGGTCTGGAAGTCCCGGCTCAGGTGTAATGATTCACACAGCAGTGGCCGCTCAGCACATTCCAGCACAGCCCCAGTGCCCAGCACGTGAGGTAATCGGCCCCAAACCACTCCTCCGCCACCCCCACGCGGTCCTAGGACCCCTTCCCATCGCTACCTCCCCTGAGGGTGTTTCCCCTGTGCTCATCGATTCCCAGACTAGAAAGGCAGGCAGGAGTTCGTCAGTGCCTGGCTCCAGGGAGGGAAATGGGCTCAGAGCATGGATCGGCAAGTGGTACATACAGGTCTCCTGCCCAGGGCTTTGCGGAAGTAGCCACTCAAAGAGCATCTTAGACCTGTTGGCCATCTGTGGTCCGGTTTCCTGCACAGTGGCGTCCAGAGGAGGGAAGGCCACCTGGTCTCTGCCAGGTGCCCCCACCTCTCCCTGATCCCCAGGCCACTCGGCCTGTTCTGCTCTTCCACTGACCCCAGCCTCGCTGGCCAGGGACGGGCAGCTGGGACCTTCCTGCCCACGGTGATGGGGACAGAAAATTTGAGTCTGAAAGGGACCCCTAAATTGCCCAAGCCTCCTGTCTCCCATGCAGGCAGAGCTTTGAATCTAGAAATCTAAGTCCTCTTAGCCTTGAGATGGGGTACCTGGTCCAGCCTTGTTCCTCCAGAGAGTCCCAGCCAGGGGGCTCATCCCCCGGGACGGGAAGTTGTCCAGGCTCTGGGGCAGTAGGCCGGGGAGGAAGGCGGCTCAGACCAGCCTCCTGGACCTGGCTGGGACCCTAGGGGCACAGCAGCTCCCTTTTGTGTGGAGCCCCATAGCCCCATAGCCCTTTGGGCTCCCTGAGGTTTGCAGCTCCCGGATGCCTGGCCTGGGTGCTGGAGACCAGGGGCAGCAGGTGGGGCCTGGGAAAGGAAGGCCGTGGAGTCGTGCTTCCCACGCGGTGGACACTGGGGAGCAGAGGGGTTGGAGCTCTCCTTCAATGGCTGCAAGACCTCACAACTTCACCCTCAGATGAGGTCCCCCCCAGGCCAGGGCTGTGCCCCCCCAGACTGAAGGCCCAAGAGCCTTTCTCAAATTGAGTGGCCTTCTGGGCAAACTCGGGGCTCCAGTGCCCTGACGTGACCTCCCTGTGGAGGTCCCACAGCTGGCCCTGGGTTGCTGACGCTCCACATCTGGCATCCACTGAAGCTGGGGGTGTCCCTCGTCCTCTCTCGACCTCTCTCCCATCTACTTGGGAAGGGTTCTTCCTCCTCTTCCTCCACTTCTCCTCCTCCTTCTCCTTCTTCCTCCCCTCCACCCCCCTCCTCTTCTTTAATTTTTGTCATACTAAGGATTGAACCTTGGGCCTTCACATCCCCAAGCCCCGCCACTGTTTGTGAGACGGGATCTCACTAAATTGCTAAGTTGCCCAGGCTGAGTTTGAACTAGAGATTCCCCTGCCTCAGCCTCCCAGAGTGCTGACAGTGCAGGCAGACACCACCATACCTAGCGGGAAATCTTTTTGGAAGGTGAAACATCAGGATTGGGTTGTTGTAAAGGGCTGAGGCTCAGCGTCTGCTTATCCGGTGAGGGGCTCTTGGCTCTGCAAGGCTCTAGTGACACTTTACATGGCTGGGCCAAGGTCCCTTCAAATATCAAGGCACTAACATTTGGAGGAGAGGACTGTGCATGACCTTGAAGTTATCCCCTTCCCACCCTGGTCCTCAGGTGGCCCAGTGGCTGCTGGGGTTAGAGAGGCCACTGTCCAATGCCTCACTGTGGACAGCCCTGCGGTCCCCATGTGGCCACAGCAGGGAGGAGAGAGAGCTCCCCAGAGCCCCTTGGGCCCCAGCACCTGGGCCAGGCTTGGGGACCCCAGTGGGGGCCAGAAGGGTTCTCACTTCCCAGACGCCTTCCAGGTGGGGTGTGACTTCCCGCTCCAGTGGTCATAAAAAGCCCAGAAGCAGCGGTCTGGGTGTGTGGGAGGGGTCCAAACTCGGAATCCCCCTCCCAGGCGTGTTTGACACGTGTTTCCGCCTCTCCTGGCCCCGGCTCCCGCAGCTGCTATTTATAACCTTTAAGAGCTCCTGCCGGCTGCAAAGTTTTCTTAAACTCAAAATATCACCGAGGTCCCAGGCACGCGTTCCAGAGGCCGCCAGGCCCTGCGGTTTGCAGGGAGGCGGGGCCGGGAAGGTGGGGTGGGCAGGGGGAGCGCAGACACTGGGTCCTGGTCAGGGGCTGTGGCAAGGGGACTCCGGGTGGGGGACCTGAGCCCAGGGAACCGTCGTCTTTACTCTCTGGCCCTGCGTGGCCTGCAAGGACCCTCCATGTGGGTGGTCTGTGGCCACGCTGAGCCACCCGAGGACACCAGGGCCCTGTATGGGCCTCAGTTTCCTCTGTAGACATGATTTGGGCAAGGCAGGGAATTGGTGGACCCCGGGGACATCTAAGGCCAGGATCAGGGCTGCGTCTGTACGGCTGTGAGCCCCATGGGAACCTGTCCCACAGGCACCAGAGTGGCTTGGGAGAGGGGACAGCAGCACTGGGAAATGGCAGTGGAACACCAGGGTCACCCTGCTCCTGCAGCCTGAGCTGCAGGCCCTCTGAGGGTCACTGCAGCCGTGACTGAGGCTGATACAGGGGGAGAGGTGCACCCCTCAAACCTGCTAGATGTCTGAAGAGTGAGTTCGTGTTCTCTGAAATCCAAGAATGAATTCCAGGAACCACAGAGGTTAGGAGTAGGAAGAATTTATTGAGAGAAAGACAGCTTCTGTCTAAGAGATAGAAAGGGGACTGGGCAAAAGAGTTACCTGCTCACCGAACTTCTCAAAGGTGTTTTATGGGACAAAGCCATCGGGGAGGTGGCTTCAAGGTGGGACGAAGCCATAGTCAACTGCAGAGATTGCAAGTGTAGCTGCTGGGGTAATTCTGATCCAGTGAGAAATGACAAGGTGGACAAAACTAAGAGCAACCAATAAGATTGTGACAAGTACAGTCACTTAAGTAATACTGATTACATGGGGATCTGATGGGGAAGCAAGTCACGTAGCAAGTGTACGAGGACGGAGCAAGGATTTCCCATGGTAAGGGGCGGGTCAGGATCTTTCTTGGAAGATCTTGATCCCCACCCAGGTGATTGGTACCTATTTAGAATATCGAGCACTGCCACTCATCCTGAGGGGAAGCACGTGGGTGTACTAGTTTCCCTTCTTTTACAGTAGTGGCCTCCAGTGAATGCGGCTTGATGGTCCTCCATGCTGGTTCCTCCGAGGCCAGCCCTGTCTAGCTGCTACAAGACACCTAATTAACTCCCCTCTCTACCACAGACCTCCCAGGGACAGATGGTCACTGCCTGTAGAAAGGTCCCGGGGACAACAGGACGGTGGCTGTGCATAGCTCTGATGCTGGCTGGGAGCTGGAGGGGATAAGACCCGGCCAGGGGACAGTGCCACCAAAGCCACACACCCAACTCCTGCCCACCCTGCCCCCACACCGTGTCCTCAGGAGTGAGCGACAATCTCCGTTCTCCTCCGTTCTCCTCGAAGCTCCATACTCCTTGTCTTGCTAAGAGAGAAGCAGGGACATCCTGGGGCCCTGCATCGGGGCCCTCATTCCCCAGACACTGCACTTCCTGTGTGTGCTGGGAGACAGATGTCTGAGGGCGAGACAGATGTGGCCCTGCCGGGTGTGTTCCCATCTTGGCCCTTGGGGAGCCCGGGGCCTCGGCCTGTGCCCTGCTGGCTTTACGACCTGGGGGCTCTTGTGTGCCCTTCATTTACGTATTTTGTTTTTTTGAGACAGGCTGTCACTATGCAGCCCAGGTTGGCCTTGAATTTGTGGCAATCCTCCTGCCTCAGCCTCCCAAGTGATGGGATTCCAGGTGTGTGCCCTTCAGATGTCCTGTCCTCTGAAGATTTCTAGGTCCACAGCCTCAGCAGTAGTTAGCTAGAGAATTTCTTTCCTTTTTTTTTTTGGTACCGGGGATTGAACTTGGGTCCTTGTGCTTGTGAGGCAGGCCACCGAGAATCTCTTTCCTTTTCAGCGCTGAAGGTGGAACCCAGGGCCTTTCGAATGCTAGGTGTACTCCTTGCTCTGTCTCTTCTCTGTCCTGCTGAGGGCCCTTGTCCCTGGGGTCGTGGCACAGTTACTGGCTGGAGCTTTAACCCCAAATACCTCTATCTCTCAGTTGCTGGGGGGCACCCCTCCCTCAGTGTCCTCAGGAGCTCAAGAGGAGGGGGTGGGTCCCAGAAATCCCCCACGTTAGAAAGTTCTCCCTCAGGATCAAAGTGCTGCAGTGGAAGTTCTCGGAGAATCAGGGAGCACCCCCAGATGGGAGATGCAAGCAGGGAGCCCTGGGGGCCTCTCGCCCCCTCAGCCCAGCCCAGCCGCTGCCCCTCATGGGGTGACAGGGGTGGGCAGGCTGGCACTTCCCCGCTTGGGCTCCCTGGGCAGGCCTGGAGGTGGCAGAGGTCCTGACAGCGTGAGGACCCCTCCTGCTTCTCTGGACTCTATCTACAGCCACGATGTCCGGGAGGGGCCCTGAGGGCTGGACAGGTGCCGCCTCTGTGAGTTCTGACGTCGGCCGCCCTTCGGACGTGAACAGGGCTCTAGGGTGGGTTGAGGAATCCCGGGCCCCACCCAGTTTATCTGCAGTTGGGTGAGTTCTTTGTGCAGATTCCAGCCCATTGTCCCCTGTTGACCTCTGATCGGTGACTGGGCAGGGGGCAAAGCTCTCAACAGCAGGAGACCGAGTCTCAGATCCCAGAATTCTCAGGGGCTCCAACTCCACCTGCACCTCACAGCACAGGGGTAAAGCCTGAGGCCTCTGCAGGGCAGACAGTGCCGTGTCCCGAACATTCTGATGATCTCAGAAGCTTCTCCATT